TCTAGTTTGAGACACCAAGAAGGATAAAACATCAATTTGAAATGTTATGCCTGTCAGAGCATAATGAATTCTGCAAAAAAAATGAAGCAAGGACAAACATCAAATTTATGGTGAAATGGGACCAGCAGATGGCATGATGTTATGTCGCTGGACTCCCACATAGTTGACCACAGTTCGAGTCCTGGACCCAGTGACTTAAAACTCAGGCCAGGCGTGTGTGCTTGTATACACCCAAAATCCCGAGAGGAGAATGGAGAAGGGATTGTGGTGTAGCCACCCCCCCGCCAGGGGTGATTTCTCACTTTCTATCTATCTCTGGTGTGAGTGTATGTGCCCTATAGCAGAAATCTCTTTAAAAAAATTTTTATGGTAAAGCTTGGAAAAATGGTGAAATCACTAATGCTTTATGAAAAGGTCACGGGGGAATGCCGCAAACAAGTCATAGTTTACAAACAAGTAACTTAAGAATGGATGAGGTAAGATGATGGAAATGACAGCTACAGTGGAAACCACCTACGATTTTTGAGATTAAAAATTAATTTTGTTCATAACTCAAGTAGACTGATGATTCACAGAAGAAACAATAGCCAACATCACAGACATCTCCACTGGTTCAGCCAACATAATCTAACTGAAAAGTTAAAGTAGACCAAGCTTTCTGCTCAAAGGATACCAAAACTTTTGCACTCAAATTAGCTGCATACAAGAACACAGCTTTCTTCTTCTTTTGCTAGAGCATTTGTGCACTTACAGGAGACAGAAAAATAGCAAAGTATCCTCCATGGGGAATGGTCATGCCAGTCCTTTCTTCTTCATGTCACCTTTTGGAGATTTAACGTGTTTTCTCAAGCTGCTGGGGCCGGAACTCAAATCCTACAATCAGCCATGTGGAATCCACCTACTTTAACCACCAGGCCATGGGCTAACCTGAGGACCATCAGTTCTTTAGGGATAGACTAAATGGTGGCATATGAATGTATATTGAACTTGGTGGAGTTTATGTCGAGAAAATAAAGTTTATACCTTATACTTTTAATCTTTTCATTCCATTTTTCCATATTTCCATTTCCATTTTCTCCCCATACTGTTAAGTGAAAAAAGCAAAGTCCAAGAATATTTATAGTACACTATCTTTTAGTGTAAATAAGAAAGGGAAATAAAATATAAATGTATCTGGTTATTTTGGCAAAAAGAGACAAGAAGTTTTAGAAAAAAAGAAGAATAAAATAGAAACTAATGAGACTGGTTGCCCAGACAGTGGGTGGAAATAAGATGAAAAGAATGGAGATGTTGAGAGGGAAGTATGAGGTATGGGGGTCTAGTGACATTTCTAAATATACCTCCTTTTGCAGTTTCAACTTGGAACTATAGTAATATTTTCTGCTACAAAATGTAAGTATGGGTACAGAAAGAAAAAAAGACCCCTAGGATGAGAACTAAATAGAAACAAATTAAGTGTATTTTAAATGAATAACCTGATCACTGAAGGATGTGGGGAGTGGGAAGAACTAACTGAAATAAACTATCATTTACTTTGAGTTTTTGCAATAGGGCCTGTGAACTTGCCAGAAAGAGAGAGAGAGAGAAAGATGAAGAGAGGGAAAGTGAGAAATCACCCCATGGTAGATGGCCACACAGCCGTCCCTTCCCCTCCATTCTCCTCCTGGGATTTTGGCAATGTACACACACACACCTGTGTGTTTTTCAAGCAAATGGGTTCAGGACTCAAACCACATGGTCAACAATGTGGGGATCCAGCCACCTTAACAACCATGCTACCACTGGCCTAAAGTTAAGTAAACTTATTTGTTTTTAAAGGTGATTTTTGCTATAGGGCAAGTACACACTCACTGGAGACAAAGTGAGAAATTACACTCTCCTCCCCCTCCTCCCCCTTCCCCAGGAAAGCAATGCCACAATACCTTCTCCTCCATTCTGCTCAAGATCTTGGGGGCACACATGCACACATGCCCAACATGAGTTTCAAGCTGCCAGGTCTGGGACTCAGACCACAGTTGGCTATGTGGGAGTACAATACCTTAATCACTACACCACCTGCTGACCCCCAGATTTTGCTTGATTTTTTTTTTTTTTCCTGAGAGATTTTTACCATAGGGCACATGCACTTGCCAGAGAGACAGAAAAGAGAAAGTAAGAAATCATTCCCAGGGAGATGGCCACACTGCAATCCCATTTTCCTCCCAGGATCTCAAGCACAGACACACATGTGCCTGGCGTGAGCTTCAAGCCACAGGATCCAGGACTCAAACCATGGTAAGTCATGTGAGACTCCAGCAACATGACTGTAAACCATCTGCTGGCCCCCAGATTTTGCTTTCTAAACAATGTTCTTCAAAATACCTAGGACTTCTGGATAAAAATGGCTAATTCTGAGGCAGAGGCAAAAAAACTACAAAATGAATCTAGAACTTATACCAGAAAATTAAGAATATACTCAATAGGGGCCAGCAGATGGTGGAGTGGTTACCTCACTGGACTCCCACTTGGCTGACTGTGATTTGAGTCCCAGACCCAGTGGCTTGAAACATGCCAGGTGCACATTCACGCATGCCCAAGATCCCAGGAAGAGGAGGAGAGATTATGGCATGGCCATCTGCCTTGAGGGTTGTTTTCTCACTTTCCCTCTGTCTCTGTCTCTCTCTCTCTCTGGCTAGTGCATGTGCCCTAAGGCAAAAACCTCTTAAAAATATGTATGTACACATACATATATATAATAATAGGACATGCTGAAAAAAAAAACAGTGACCAGTCTGCCAAATCTGGCCATTAAAATAAATATATTTCTACATCAGAATGAGAGATTAATGGTTACATGCTGGACTCCCATGTAGCCAGCCACAGTTTGAGTCTTGGCCCTGGCAGCTTAAAACTCATGCCAAGTATGTGTATATACATGGCCAAGATCCCAGGAGAATGGAGAAGGGATTGCTGCATGGCCATCCCCCCAGGGGACTAATTTCTCACTTTCCTACTCACTTTCTCTGTCTACCTCCAACAGTATCCCCCCCACCCCTACAGTACACACACCCTAAGGCAAAAACTTCTTTTAAAAAAGAGGGACTGAGAACACAAGGACAGACACAGCCTTGTGATGTGATCAGTACTCTGCAAGATAAACCTCTTGAATCACTAGTTTAAAATATTTTCTGTTATTAGCCACAAAACAGACTAGAATGATATCAAATGAAATGTATAGAAGAAATGATACAGGGGTCTGGTAGGTGGTATGGTGGTTGAGGTACCGGATTGCCACATAGGCAACCGTGTTTCGGATCCTGGACCTAGTGGCTTGCTTTCTCACTTTCTTTGTATGTCTCTCTCTGGTCAAATTTAAATATAATAATAAAGTAAATAATTCTTTAAAAAAAAAAAAGAAATGATGCAGTTAGACAATTCACCATTTGAATAGTACGAATTCAGGAAAGAATCATGGATGCTAAAATTAGCAGGTAAAGGATTGATAGTGAATAGGATATTTAGTCTCAAATATTCTTCCCACAAAATGGGTAATTTAAAGGGGGAAAATAGGGGTCAGCCAGCTGGCTAAGGTGGCTGGATCCCACAGGGGTGACTGCACAGTTTGAGTCCTGGACCTGGAGGGTCGAAAAAAATAGGCCAGCAAGACTGCATGTATGCCCAAAATCCAAACGAGGGAGAGATGAAGAAGGGATTATGGTATGGCCATATCCCCTGGGGGATGCTTTTTCCCTTTCCCTCTCTCTCTGGTGCCATATCCCCAGCCACCGGGTCCGGGACGCGAACCGCGGTGGACTACATGGGAGTCCAGCGACATAGCCATTACGCTAACTTCTGGTTCCCTCCCCTAGGGGATGCTTTTTCACTTTCCCTCTCTCTCTGGTAAGCATACATACCCTCTGACAAAATTTAAAAAACAAACACTTTTTTTTTTTCTTTTTGGAGAGGTTTTTGCTATAGGGCGTGTGCGCTCACCAGACAGAGAGAGACAGACAGAAAGCGGGAAATCATCATCCCCCCCCAGGGGGGATGGCCACGCCGCAATCCCTTCTCCTCTATTCTCCTCTCGGGACCTTGGGCACACATGCACACGCACCTGGCATGAGTTTAAGCCACCGAGTCCGGGACGCGAACCGCGGTTGACTGCATGGGAGTCCAGCAACATAGCCATTATGCTAACTGCTGGTCCCAAATCAAACATTTTCTAAGAGAGACATAACTCGGGCTTGGCAGATGGCATAGTGGTTAAGGATGCTGGACTCCCACATGGCCGTGGTTCAAGTCCCAGACCTTGTTGCTCGCTCTCTCTCTCTCTCTCTCTGTCCCTCTCTGGTCAAATTAAAATAAATAAGTTAAATAAAACAATTCTTTTAAAAAAATTTTAAAAAGACATAAATATTAAGTTGTTGGAAAAGACACATTTTTTTTATAGAAAAATACATCATGACTTTTCCAACAACCCAATACAATGCCTGATCTTGGACCAGAAGAAAGAAAAATATATATTTTTTGCTATAAGAATCATTACTGAAGCCAAGCAGAGTAGTGAACATCTATAATCCCAGCTACTCAAGAGCCTAACGCAAGAGGATTACAAATTTAGGTAACATAGACTCTTGTCTTTTCAAAAAAAAAGAAAGACTTACAGCATTATGTGGTCTTGTGCAATCTCTGGGGTGTCAAGATAAAAGATAATACTGCTCAGGACTGAGACTTTGAGGAACTTGCCTTTTTCTCTATTCTGCTGGAACCTACCTCTATGTCACCGGAGATGCAGAAGCCTATCAGTTTCCTCAAAAGTCCAATTTATGAAAAGAGGATACTAAATCTACAATGTCTGGCATGCTCCGAATTCTTAGGAGGAGCTCATACTGGAGCTGCTAGGGTTACAAGTCTCAGAAAAAGCCCAGTCCTTCTCACCTACTCTATACCCTAGAGCTAACCCAGTCCACTCTGGCCCACAGTCTGCAAAGAGCACAGGAGAAAGAACCACAAGACTTAGCTGAACTCCAAGTACAAACTTTATTTCTATTACAATGAAGTTAATAATTATAACAGTAAAATAAAAAGCAGGAAAAGGGCTCTGACACTTAGCTTCAGTCCTGATCAGGGCAGAGCCCAGTATGGAAGGCCCTGGTAGGGACAAGGAGCTCTCAACCCCCCCTACTAGAGGGCAGTGAAAACAAAGGAGCCATGCTCCCCAATAGAAACATAAGGCAGTGATGCCAAATGCCAAAAAAAGCAGCTTTGAACAAAGCTCCTAGTCCACTCACCTCCAATTCAACTTAACTGCTAAGACCCTGTTCCTCACTTTATATTGCAACTGGCCTGAGCTCCACACGTACCACAGGCCCAGATATAGAGTGGGCAGGAACAGTACATGGGACATGTCCCCCAATTTTAGGCCCCCACATGGAAAAGAATCACTTCACTTGTAAGTACCAGGTTTCAAGGACCCTCCCCTTTCTTCTACCAAGACCAAACAGCACCAAAAAGCAGTGGTGACAGTATGTCAAGAGAAAGAGACCTGGTGGACTGAGAGGCCACAACTTACATTTCTCTTCTACCAAAAGGTGGCAACTCAGGCTGAAATATTTCTCAACAGCCTCCCTGCTAACCCTCCCTCAAAGCCCAAATTCCCACAGCACAATCTCAAAAGACACGAAATGGCCATAACCTAGAAAAAATTAAATCCAGAAAATCTCCCCTGCCTAAAGAGCCAGAGAGGTGAAGCCTGCACTGTGTGAGTGCTGCTGTGCATAGATGGGACCAACGTGGAGGGTCTCTGGAGACACCATTACTCCTCTTCCTCTTCCTCCTCTGCATCCCCAGCGCCCTGTTGCTTGGGGGGCTTTGCCTGTTAAACAACAGAACACACATGAAGTACCCCATGAAAGAGCAATACTCTTCCCAACACCCTGAAAATGTCCAGCTTCCACAGAAACTTCCTCAGCCACAACCAGCCTGGTCCCAGTAACTTCTCTGATGTCAAGAGCCACACCAGCCACTCCTATGTCTGAGTCCTTCCTGAGCATAGGGGATGGAGTCCAGGTTACCTTTGTAGTTCTGCTGCGGTAGTTGGCAGCCACAGGGGTGACCCGGGAGTTCCTGCCACCTTCACTCCTACCACTGAAAGAAAAGGATTGGAAACTAGCTTGGAAGCTAGATTGGAAGCAAAGGTCAGAAAACTCAAAGGGAACAGAAACAGCTGGTGCCAGAGCAAAAGCAGCACTCTGCTAGCAGATAAAGCAAACAAAAACCCCCAAGGAAACCAAAAGAATACTTTTGGCATCATGTGACAATATGGGCAAAACCCACATTCCTCACCTTCTGTGGACTTCAGTTTTGCCCCAGGCCAGGCCAAAGTGACCAGACTTTTGCCCAAGCTCCTTGGGCTATTCCCAAGCTTACCTAGCACTGTATCTATCTGCAGGCCCACGGGGGAAAGATGGCACAATGTTTTCTGGGTAGAGATTTCGAACGGGATGAATCACTGGAACGTGCCCAGCAGCCATGGCTCCATTCTGGTTATTTTGGTTCCGCCCCCGGATACCCTGGCCATCTGAGTTGTTGAGCTTCAGTACTTGAGGAGGACTAGGTTGGCACCTCGGTCTCGGGCTTGATGTTGATTTTGACAGTTGGTTATAGGCGGCTGTCATGTTATTAATAGGTCTGCTGGGGGGCAGAGGATAGGTGGGCCCTTTAGCTGTTTCCTGCTTGATATCATCCATGTAACCAGAAGACAGGTCTCCTGAAGAGAAAAAATAGTAACAGCTTTAAGAAAAAGCCTACTCTTACTACTAACGCTGGATTCAGAGCAGGAATAGATTTAGAACAGAAGACAACTGCTCACTCCTAAAGGCTGTTGGAACCTATAGGACAGAGTCTGCACGCTTATTATGGTACAGTGATAACATAATGCTCTGCAAAGCTGACCTGCATAGGAAGGTTCCCAGTTTATGTCCAAAGACTTCCCTGAACATGCAGGCCACACGTGTCCCCATGATCCAGAGCTAACTAAAGCTCAGAGTGGATCATGGGATGAAAACCCTGGAGATGCCTGTCTCTTTCTCCTTTCTCTCCTCTCCCTACTCTCCAGGTCATGGAAGAAACAAAAGAGGCCAGCTTTGTGGCCTACTGGTTAAGGGAGTCAGATCTCACATAGCCAGATGAGTGCCCTATGAGACCCTAGTATGCTTGCTAACTCAAGATTCAGGTAGCCCCTGTCTGAATAGCAGTTAAAAAGTAGTAAAGAGGCCTGAGCCCATGATCTGGGCTTTAGCCCTGGCTAATACCCTGGTGTCTGACACGCCTCCTAGGCAGTTCTGGTGAAGTCTCCCGAGGCTGGGAATCCTGTCTAGAAATCCCCTCCATCTCATGGGTATTTGCTGTGGCTGGACGTTGGTCACACTGGTCCTAAACAAACAAACGAAAAAACAGAATTAGTATCACTGAACTTGAGTCATTCCTAGAAAAGGTGGCAGTGAAGGGAACAGCAGGCTTGGGGAGCACACTTCATCTAGAGCAGGACCATGACTGCACTGAGAGGACAGTCAGAACTAAGAGGAACTGCACATCTGAAATGGAACAGCTGTTCTCATTAGCACTGACAGAAGCACTTTCTGATTTTTTTCAGGGATGAAGGAATGGCTGGTTGTGGGAAGCTTAGAAAAATATTTCTATAATTTGATTATTTGGGTGATTGATTATTTGATAGCCTCCCCTAAGAGACAAGACTTAGTTATTTATCTACTGTGTGATCCAAAAGCAGAAGTCTGTATTACAGATGTAAAGCATGTGATATTCTACAGAATTTCACATATATTTCAGATATTTCTATAGAAATGATACCTGCAGTGATGGCTTCTCTCAGCAAATACTATTAGGTAGATACTGCATTTTCCAATAATAGCAGGCAGTCTAAATTATTGTAAAAGCTAAAAAGGACTTCAGATAACTACCTCATTTACAGATGCCTCCAGTGAAGGGGACAGGACCTATCAGGTTAACCACAGGGCAAAGCTAAAGCCAGAACTCTAGGTCTCCTGAAATGCAAGTTTCACACACCTCCACTAATCGAAAACAGAAAGCATCAGTGACCTCAGGGAAACTCATCTACACCCTTTGGCAAGGCCTCCATGCCTATTCAAATGGAGTCCTAGCTCTTTGGTTCTCAGGTTGTAACATGAAAATTTCAGTTGCAAAAAGAAAGCCTGAAAGCCTGAGGTACTATGTACCTCAGAGAGTCATTTCACAAAACAGGGCATAGCCAGAAGCTAAGTATGTGAATTCCTGATTAGACTGGAATGCAACTTGAAGGAAGTATTCCTGGCTCTGGGAGTCTCAGGTTCTCACAGAACATTAGTATGGAGCCAAGTAGATGAGTGATCCAGGGACTCTTACCTGGTGATGGAACAGCACCTCCTCTTCCAGCTGTACCCCGCAGAACTCACATGGGATGATGATGCTGTCCTCCACAGGGGCTGAATTGCTCAGGCCCATCAAAGATTTGAACTGGTTACTTGCAGCCTGCTGCAGAAAGTTCTGGAGGATAACATCAGGATCTTCTACCCCTTTGGGGGAAGAGCTGCCAGTATGGAGCGAAGGTAAGGCACGTGAGGGGTTACAGCTTGTCTGTCATTCAAAAAAAAAAAAAAAAAAAAGGTTAAAAGGAATCATAGATAAAGGAAAAAAGTACATTTTCTAAAATCACAAAATTTTAATTATGTTTAATATTGAGATGAGGGACTAAAATAGGGGAATACAGAATACTTGATTTACTTTTAAATACTTCTGTATTGTTTTAATTTTTTTTCCCTATCTTCATTTTATTACTCTTTTTAAATTAATTTGGGGGCTGGCAGGTGGCATGGTGGTTAAGGTGGCTGGATTCCCTCATGGCTGACTGCAGTTCAAGTCCTGGACCTGGCAGCTTGCTTTCTTACTTTCTCTCTGGTCAACTTCAAGAAAAATAAAAAATAAAATAATGACAATGAATAAAATTAAACAAAAACTAATTCTTTAAAAAAAATTATTTTGAAGAATCAAGATTCTTTCCATGGCCATACAATAGTAGAGAGACCCAAATATTCTTTATAGTCTTTGTTAATGGGTTTACTTATGCCACTCATAAACATTAGATACTATTAAAATATTTTATTATTCTATTTATGGGGAAAGGTATATTCCATCACTCAGAGCACAGGGACTACTTAGTAGTCATGGAAATGTCAGACTAGACCAAATCAAATCAGACAAGAGAATTCAGAAGAAAAGTGGTTACCTCTTAAGGTTACCCTCAAACAGATAAGGCTATTCTGTTTTTTAAAAGCATAATTTATTTAATTTTAATCATCATCAGGACCAGCAGTTGGTGTAATGGCTATGTTTCTGGACTCCCATATAGTTGATCACGGTTTGAGTCCTGAACCCGGTGGCTTAAGCTCACACTGGGCGCATGTGCATGTGTGCCCAAGATTCCGAGAGGAGAATGGAGAAGAAGGGATTGCGGCATGGCCATCCCCCCGGGGGGTGATTTCTTGCTTTCTGTCTCTGTCTGTCTCTTTCTGGCAAGTGCACGCACCCTATAGCAAAAACCCACCCTAAAGGAAAAAGCACACCAAAAAAAAAAAAAAAAGAAATATGGTTTATGACACCAACCATGGCCTGCACATATGCCAATTTAAAGCCCTCAAGTAACTCACTACATACCTGATGGTCAATCAGTAGTTCCTCTGGGTAGAGCTCCTCACAAAATTCACAAGGCAACATGGTCTCGTCAGCTGTACCTAGATAACAGGTCACAGGATCAAGACTCAAAATGAACAAAAATAAACTTAATTTTAATCTTCTATTCCCCGATGGGTATTTATATGTAAGTCTGACTTCCTTTAGCATTTCTTATGTGTATCAATTTGTGGTGCTATAAATCCTAAGAGATCCTAAACAAAAACTTCAATTGTGGAAGAGATTTAGTTGTTAACAATTTCCTTGAATAGCAATAAAGTAGTGGTTTACTCCCTACTCTAAGACTATTGAACAAATGGGACAGTAAACAACACAAAGAAATTACATAAGCCATCAGTGATGTGGTGGTTAAGGCAGCTGGATCCCACATGGCTGGCTGTGTGGTTCAAATCCTGGACCTGGCGGCTTGAAAAACTCACTGGGCACATCTGTGCCCAAAATTCCAAGAGGAAAATAAAGAAGGATTGCAGTATGGCCATTTCCCCTTGGAAGTGCTTCCTTACTTTCCCTCTCTGTTTCTCTCCAGTGAATGCATACACCCTATGGCAAAAATCTTAAAAAAACAAAAAGTTAAGATTTCCAGGCAACTGGGGCCAGCAAGTGGTGTGGTAGTTGAGGTCCTGGACTCCCACATGCTCAACCGCAGTTTGAGTCCAGACCTGTCAGCTGAGGAATCACATTGGGCGTGTATACATGCCTGCCCAAGATCCCAAGGAGAGTGGACAAGATTGTGGCATGGTCATCCCCTGTGGGGGATGATTTCTCACTTTCTCTATCTCTAATAAGCACATTCAGCCTATAGCAAAAATCTCTCTAAAAAATAATAAGAGGAAAACACAGGACTGGCTTTTTTTTTAGTACAACAATTAAGTGTTGTGCATAGAAAGCCAGATCTCAAGTGGACAAATACAGTTCAAATTCTGGCCCCAGTGGCTTGAAGAACAGTGGATACATGTTTATGACCTTGTTCAGGCCTCAAATCCTGACAGAATTTAGAAACAGAAGAAAAAGGACTATAGCATGAACATTGGAGGATAAGAAGAATGACAGCTCACAGAGCTGCTTAATTTTCAGGTCCTTAAAATGTCTCATGAGGTAAGTGTTTTAAGTATAACACACAGCTGTCAAATACATCTTAGAGATAACTGTTCTCTACACAAGAGACCCAAAGGGTGTCTCACTGCTTACAATCTTGCTTTTACTTTAAAGACAGTCTTGGGGCTAGCAGATGGCATGGAGTTCAAATAGCTGTACAGTTCGAGTCCAGGACCTAGCGGCTTGAAAATCACACCAGGCATGTAAAAAAAAATGGAGAAGAGATTGCAGCATGGCCACCCCTGCAGGGGATGATTTCTTGCCTTTTCCCTCTCTGTTTATCTCTGGTGAGTACACACACCCTATGGGAAATTAAAAAAAAAAAAAAAAGACAATTCTAAAAGGACATCATGTACAAGTAGAGAACTTGTTAAATTCTCTGAGGTCAGTGACTTTTGTACTGTGGGGCAAGCCAGTAGTATGGTGATTAAGGCAGCTGGATCCTACATGGCTGACTGCATGATTTAAATCTTAGACCTGGTGACCTGAGAAACGTGCCAGGTATATATGTACCTAAAATTCCAAGAGAATGGATTGTGACATAGCCATCCTTCCTGGGGGCGCTCTCTCTCTCTCTCTGTAGAGACAAATGCTAATATAGAATGAACAGACCTACCTTTTATGTTGCTCACAGAACCATGACCACCATGACACTGGTCTGCCTCGCAAACGGCCCGCCAAAAATCCTGCTCTGCCATGTTGGAAGGCTGGCCTTCATTTTGCAGACTCAGGGCCAACATGAAGTCCAAGTTTGCACTATCTTCACCCTCCTTGGGGGGCTGTGGGCGTCTATTCCTTTCCTGCCTTTCTTGTTCTTCAACTAGGAAAAAACAAACAAACAAAACAAAAATAGCACTCAATTCAGCTTAAATCCATGCTTAGAAATAGCCAAGGTTCACAGACATCTGGACAGAAGCCCAATTCTGTCAACAGCATTGGCCCTCTGGTTATTAACAGTCTCTGAACATTAAAGAAAAGACTTCATTATTAGTCTAACTGTATTATTAGAGAGGTTTTTGCTATAGGGCGCATGCACTCACTAGAAAGACCGAGAGAGACAGAAAGACAGAAAGCAAGAAATCATCCCCCGGGGGGATGGCCATACCACAATCCCTTCTCCTCTATTCTCCTCTTGGGATCGTAGGCACACACGCACATGCACCCGGTGTGAGTTTAAGCTACCGGGTCCGGGATTCAAACTGCAGTCGACTACATGGGAGTCCAGCAACATGGCCATTAATCCAACTGCTGATTCCTCTAACTATATTATTAATAAGCAATATTACTGAGCTGTAATGATGAGGCACTATGCTAAACAGTTGAAATATTTTTTTTCTGCAAGCTAGCAGAATGATTTAAAACAGAAGGTCAGAATGCATGAATTCAAATCTTGGCCCTACCATTTACCTACTCTCATAATGAGAACTGATTAATACATGTCAAAGCATTCTGCAAATGCCTGAAGTACGTAAGATGTGTTAGCTATTTACAGCATCATCGTTGTTATTAACTCTAACCGTAATTCAATAGTGAAGAGGTTCTGTTATTCCCATTTTATGGAAAAACTAGGTTTTCTTCTGAATGTTACCTAGTGGCAGTGCAGTTTCTATAATCAGGATCTATTTGGAACTAAAGCCTTTGTTCCCATTAGCCTTGGGATTTTGATATCATTCCAGTTTCCTGGTCCCACACACAACTCACATAGATTATTCTGAATTGGAAACTGGGTTGTCATGTTCCTTTGGTTGGTAGTCCTATTATGAAAAAGGTCTGAATCAAAGGTTCTCAGGGGAGTTCCAGGTAGCCTCATGGGTGGGTCCAGAGCCTCAATTTGTCTAAGGAGTTGGGATGCAATCCAGATTCCATCTTGACCCCAGGGCTCATCATATGCATTAGGAGGTATGGCAACCTCATTTCTCTTTTCTTCTGCCTCTCTCCCACAAACTTCAGGGTGAGTCTTCAAATCTTTCACAAGTATATTGCGCCCACAGCTGCCACATAGCTCTGTTCGGGCACCACAGTAATCCTCGTGTTCCTTTAGTTTGAGAATTGAAAGTTCCAAATCACAGTGCTGGCAGAGAGCAAGCCGCAGAGGGCACTCAGTCTCCTACAATGAAAAGAAATGAGGCAGTTAATATGTACATCTAAGAAAGGCCATGTTTTAATACATGGCAAGGAAAGCAAAAACATACCTGCTTCAGTCTTCTAACCCTAGCTTCCCTTGTCACACTTTTTATGTATTTAAGAGTCACACCTTTTGTAGAAGAAAACTCTTAGAAGGAATCCATTCAGGGCTGGCAGGTGGTGTGGTGGTTAACACACTGGACTCCCACATGGCTGACCATGGTTAAAGTCCTGGACCTGGCAACTTGCTCTCTCTCTCTCTGGCTAGTGCAGATGCCCTACAGCAAATTTAAAAATATTAATAATGGGGCAACCAGGTGGTGTAGTGGTTAAGGTCCTGGATTCCCATATAGTTGACCATGGTTCAAGTACTGGACCTGCGGCTTATAACTCATATTGGGCGTATATGCATGAGTGCCCAAAATCCCAAGAGAAGAATGGATGAGAAGGGATTGCAGCATGGCTATCCCCCTTGGGGGATGATTTCTCGCTTTCTATTTCTCTGTTTCTCTGGCAAGCACATGCACCCTATAGCCAAAAATCTCAAAAACAAATAAATAAATAAAAATTAAATAACTTTTTAAAAAAGAATTATTTTATTTAACTTTATTTATTTTTAATTCGATCAGAGAGGGGCAAAGTGAGAGAGAGGGAAAATGAGAAAGCAAGCCACCAGCTCCAAAGCAAACCATGGTCGGCCATGTGCGAGTCCAGCACCCTTAACCACCATACCACCTCCACATGCCGGCCCCAATAAGTAATTCTTAAAGAAAAAGAAGATTTCTATTCAGTCATACCAATTATCATTTCATTTTGTGCACATACTACACAGTAATCCAAACTCAACTAAAGAGTAGAAATAAGTAACAGCAGCATAGCAATTCAGACTGTTTATCAGAACTTAACTAACTTCCGTTTAGTGCTCCAATTTAGTCTTAAATACTGTTAATGAGGAAAGGGGACTGTCCTTCAGGGAAACACTGAGTTTTCTAACCTTCATGGGTGTATTTAGCACTGGCTTTAAATTTACCAAATAAGCCAGGAATCACAATTGCAGATGTAAATATACTCAATGGATGAATGACAAAACCTTGGGCCAACAGATGGCATAGTTGATGAGGCACTAGACTCCCACATGGCTAACCACGATTTGAATCTTGAACCTGGCAGCTTGATTTCTCTCACACATGCACTGTAGCAAATTAAAAGATAATAATAATGGGGACCAGCAGGTGGCACAGTGGTTAAGGTGCTAGACTCCCACATGGCACGTGTGCATGCATGCCCAAAATCCCAAGAGGAAAATGGAGGAGAGGGGATTACAGTGAAGCCATAACCCTTGGGGGGTGATTTCTTACTTTTGGTCTCTCTGTCTCTCTGTTAAGTGCACACATGCTACAGCAAAAATCTCTCTTAAAAAAAAATAATAATAGTGATAAATAAAATTAAGTTAAGCTTTAAGAAATAAGAAAGACAAAACTTTATACTTGGGGCTAGCAGGTGGTATTGCGGTTAAGGTGTTAAGGTGATTCCCACATGGCTGACCAGGGTTCAAGTTCCAGACTGGTGGCTGAAAAATCATACAAATAAATAAATAAATGTTAAGGGGAGGAAAACCATTATACTTAATTGGAAACTGTCAATAAAGCAGAAAAAAAATTTTAAATGACATAAAGAAATACGTTACCTTGATAAGCAGGCCCAAAATTGAGAAAGTAAGCTCAGAACATGAATGTAACATCATTTGAAAAGGATAGATACTTGGGGCTGGCAAGTGGCATGGTGGTTAAAGGCACTGGACTCCCACATGGCCAACAGCGGTTCAAGTCCCAGACCTGATGGTTTGCTTTCTCATTTTGCCCCTCACCTTTCTTTCTCTGATCAGACTGAATAACAATAGTAATAATAAAAGTTAAAAAAAAAATTTTAAAAAGCAGACAAGCCCTTAAAAAAAAAAAAAAAAAAAAAAAAAAACTAGAAAAAGTTATTGACAAACAGGTAATAGGAAATGGTGCCAAAAATCCAGAAAGAAAACTGAGTATTTTTAACTAAATTTTTTCCTAATTTGTTTTAAATGACATTTCAGTTTATCTCTGAAGCCCTACCCTACCTCCATAACCTCATTAATTGATAGTTGACAGCTTACCAAGAGAAGACTAAAAGGAATGGCAAACAGCTAGCTTTAGTTCACTAATAAAAATCTCTGCACAACCTAGGTAAGGATGGCCACACCACAATCCCTTCTCCTACATTCTCCTCTTGGGATCTTGGGCACACATACACACATGCCCAGTGAGAGTTTAAGCCAGCAGGTTCAGGACTCAAACGATGATTAACTACATGGGAGTTCAGAGACATAGTGATTATGCTATCTGCTGGTCCCACAAAATAATTCTTTTTTTTTTTTCCTACAGGGCGTGTGCGCTCGCCAGAAAGACAGAGAGAGACAGAGAGACAAAAGCAAGAAATCAACCGCTGGGGTGGGGAATGGCCATGCTGCAATCCCTTCTCCTTCATTCTCCTCTCGGGATTTTGGGCACACACACACGTGCCCAGAGTGAGTTTAAGCCACCGGGTCTAGGACTTGAACCACGATCAGCTAGATGGGAGTCCAGCAACATAGCATTACGCTAAGTGCTGGTCCCTCATAAAATAATTCTTACAAAAAAAAGTAAAAATACTTTACAACTGTGTCCAAAAGCAAAAACATTGTTTAATACACATTAAACCCAAATTCTATTTTAGGTGCTAGTATAAACATTTTTAGCCTTATTTGTATATGCATGAAGTATTTTTTGCATTAAACATAATAAACTAGGGACTAGCAGTTGGCGTAACGGCTATGTCGCTGGACTCCCATGCCGTCGACCACAGTTCGAGTCCCAGACCCAATGGCTTAAACTCATGCTGGGCACATGTGCATGTGTGCCCAAGATCCCGAGAGAATAGAGGAGAAGGGATTGTGTCGTGGCCATGATTTCTCGCTTTCTCTCTGTCTCTGTCTTTCTGGCAAGTGCATGCACCCTATAGCAAAAAGCTCTCCAAATAAACAAACAAACAAACATAATAAACTCATAAAGAGGGCCTAGATAGGTGAGGAAAAGGGATAAAAGAGAGATAATTAAAAAAATATTTATTTTTAATTTGACCAGAGAGAGATGGAGAAAGAGAGAAAGAGGAAGTGAGAAAGCAAGCCACCAGGCCTGAGACTCGAACCGCGGTCAGCCATGTGGGAGTCCAGCACCCTTAATCACCACACCACCTGCTGGCCCCAAGAGAGACAATTTTTTAAACTGTATTTATTATTATTTTTTTATTTTCCAGTTTTAATCAGAGAGAGATGAAAAGTGAGAAAGCAAGCCACCAGGTCTGAGACTTAAACCGTGATCGGCCACGTGGGAGTCTAGCGCCCTCCCAACCACCATGCCACCTGCTGGTCCCAAAGACAATTTTTTTAAAAAAGAATTATTTTATTTAGCTTCATTTATTTATTTATTCATTCATTCATCCATTCATTTTAATTTGACTAGAAAGAGAGAGAGAGAAAGCAAGCCACCAGGTCTAGGACTTGAACCATGGTTGGCCATATGGGAATACAGCACCCCAAAGACCATAGCACCTACTGGCTAGCAACATCTTCTTTTTATAAATTTTGATAGCGGGTGCAACTGCTCACTAGAGAGAGACAGAGAGAAAGAGTATGAGAAAGCACCCTCCATGGAACATATTCATGCAACAATCCCTTCCTTTTCCTCCATTTTCTCCTTCCTTTTGGGATTTTGGGCATATACACACATGCCCAGCATGGTTTTCACACCAGGTCCAGGACTCGATCCCCAAGTTGGCCATGTGGCATCTACTCACCTTACCCACCATGCCACTAGCTCACCCCTTTTGTGACTTTAAAATTATACAAAACATAGATATAATATTAATTGAAAAAGTTTTCCTTTCTTTCTTTTTTTTATGTTTTCCCATAAGGCATGTGCGCTCACCAGATAGGAGAGATAGAGAGCGAAAGTGAGAAATCACTCCCCATGGGGGAGGGCCATACCCAATCCCTTCTCTTCCATTCTCATCTAGGGATTTTGGGCATACAACCACATGTGCTTAGCATCCATTTCAATCTGCCGGGTCCCGGACCTGACAACTTGCTTTCTCACTTTCCCTCTCTCTCTCTCTCTTCCTCATGCTCTCTCGCTCTGTCCCTCTCTGGTCAAATTAAAATAAGCAAATAAATAGATAAAGTTAAATAAAATAATTCTTTTAAAAAAAAAAATTCAAAATATAAAACTAGCCAGGTGGCATGGTAATTGGGATAGCTGGATCCCACATGGCTAATTGTGTGGCTGGAGTCTCAGATCTGGTGGCCTGAAAAACATACCAGGTGTGTGTGCCTGTGCACATACCAAAAATTCCAAGAGGAGAATGGAGAAGGTATTACAACAAGTCAAACCCCTTCCCCAGGCAGTACTTTCTCATATTCACTTTTTCTCTCTCCCTGGTAAAGGCATGCTCTTATAGCGAATTAAGTAATAGTAATAATCCAAAATAAGTCCCAGCCAAGGTAGTGCCGGTAGGAGGGTGCCATTACACAATACTGGAACCACATAGAAAGGACCAGGGTTCAGACTCTAGGTCAGCATGAATACATCAGGCATGTTCATGGGATCAGGGAATGGTGAGACACATCAGGGATACCAGTCCCTGTCCTAGTCTTACTCTCTTTCTCTGGCATATAACAAAATTAATTTATAAGAAAATTCAAAATGAAATACCAAAATGTAAGGCAGGATGTGTGCTAAGGTGGTTATCTCACACTGGCAACCCCAGACTTATCTTTGTATTCAATGAGAATGCCAATAGCCAAACACCAGCAGAAATGAAAGACTTGGTTCCAAAGGGAAAGACTTGGAGGTCGGAATGATGTTGAACAACCAAGCTGCCAAACTTGGCATCAGTTGAATAGAAAAAGTCCCAAATAGGTTATTTGTTTTTAAATTCCAGAGGTTGTGTGTGCACATATGCACACATATATAAGAGACAGACAGAAAGAGAGAGAGAAAGCATCTCTCAATGGAGACTGGTCATGCTGCAATCCTTTTTTTCTTTTTTTAAAGGTTTTCTGTCCCAGGATGCATGCTCTCACTGGAAAGAAATGGAGAGAGACAGAGAGGGGTAAAGTAAGAAATCACCCTCCAAGGGGATAGCCACACTGCACTCCCTTCTCCATTCTTTTCTCAGGATTTTGGGCGCACACACACACACGCACACGCACACACATATACACAAAATATTTTCAAGACACTGGATCTGGGAGCTGAACAGTAGTCAGTCATGTCAGAGTCCAGTGCCTTAACCATACTACCTGCTGGCCTCCCTCCATTCCTTCTTTCTGTCAGGATCCTGGGCACATATTCCTGCATTCATGTCCAGCATGTTTTTAAAGCAGCTAAGGCCAGTATTCAAACCATGGTCAGCCACATGAGATCAGGCTCCCCCCACATAGCATTTAACTATTGTGCTATGGGACAGCTAGCCCAAATAGGTTTTCCTTTCTTTCTTTTTTTTATGTTTTCCCATAAGGCATGTGCGCTCACCAGATAGGAGAGATAGAGAGCGAAAGTGAGAAATCACTCCCCATGGGGGAGGGCCATACCCAATCCCTTCTCTTCCATTCTCATCTAGGGATTTTGGGCATACAACCACATGTGCTTAGCATCCATTTCAATCTGCCGGGTCCCGGACCTGACAACTTGCTTTCTCACTTTCCCTCTCTCTCTCTCTCTTCCTCATGCTCTCTCGCTCTGTCCCTCTCTGGTCAAATTAAAATAAGCAAATAAATAGATAAAGTTAAATAAAATAATTCTTTTAAAAAAAAAAATTCAAAATATAAAACTAGCCAGGTGGCATGGTAATTGGGATAGCTGGATCCCACATGGCTAATTGTGTGGCTGGAGTCTCAGATCTGGTGGCCTGAAAAACATACCAGGTGTGTGTGCCTGTGCACATACCAAAAATTCCAAGAGGAGAATGGAGAAGGTATTACAACAAGTCAAACCCCTTCCCCAGGCAGTACTTTCTCATATTCACTTTTTCTCTCTCCCTGGTAAAGGCATGCTCTTATAGCGAATTAAGTAATAGTAATAATCCAAAATAAGTCCCAGCCAAGGTAGTGCCGGTAGGAGGGTGCCATTACACAATACTGGAACCACATAGAAAGGACCAGGGTTCAGACTCTAGGTCAGCATGAATACATCAGGCATGTTCATGGGATCAGGGAATGGTGAGACACATCAGGGATACCAGTCCCTGTCCTAGTCTTACTCTCTTTCTCTGGCATATAACAAAATTAATTTATAAGAAAATTCAAAATGAAATACCAAAATGTAAGGCAGGATGTGTGCTAAGGTGGTTATCTCACACTGGCAACCCCAGACTTATCTTTGTATTCAATGAGAATGCCAATAGCCAAACACCAGCAGAAATGAAAGACTTGGTTCCAAAGGGAAAGACTTGGAGGTCGGAATGATGTTGAACAACCAAGCTGCCAAACTTGGCATCAGTTGAATAGAAAAAGTCCCAAATAGGTTATTTGTTTTTAAATTCCAGAGGTTGTGTGTGCACATATGCACACATATATAAGAGACAGACAGAAAGAGAGAGAGAAAGCATCTCTCAATGGAGACTGGTCATGCTGCAATCCTTTTTTTCTTTTTTTAAAGGTTTTCTGTCCCAGGATGCATGCTCTCACTGGAAAGAAATGGAGAGAGACAGAGAGGGGTAAAGTAAGAAATCACCCTCCAAGGGGATAGCCACACTGCTCTCCCTTCTCCATTCTTTTCTCAGGATTTTGGGCGCACACACACACACGCACACGCACACACATATACACAAAATATTTTCAAGACACTGGATCTGGGAGCTGAACAGTAGTCAGTCATGTCAGAGTCCAGTGCCTTAACCATACTACCTGCTGGCCTCCCTCCATTCCTTCTTTCTGTCAGGATCCTGGGCACATATTCCTGCATTCATGTCCAGCATGTTTTTAAAGCAGCTAAGGCCAGTATTCAAACCATGGTCAGCCACATGAGATCAGGCTCCCCCCACATAGCATTTAACTATTGTGCTATGGGACAGCTAGCCCAAATAGGTTTTGAGAGGCAGTATACATGTGAGCTGGTATAGAACAAAGACTCAAAGAGACTGGCTTTCTGCTCTGTATGCAGCTCTGTAATGTCAGTAGGACTGGCTCCATGACAAGTCACTCCTTTCACAATGCCAGAAGACTAACCGCATGGTTCTTTAACTGCCTCTTCTCCAACTTCTTGTTACATTTGCAGGTCACCTAGGGTAAGAAATAAGAATCAATAAATTGGCTTTGTGACAATATGCTCACTCACTATTGTATAATATTAACAAGTATAACATAGTTATGAATAGTAGCAAGTAAAATACATTTATGAGCATCTGGGTATATGGTGGTTCACCTGACAGTGTTCTGATGCCATGTGAGTCTCCATGTCAGATTTGGGAAATGGTTCCTTGCAGATAGGACACATATCAATGTTCCTTTGACAGTGGATCTCATGGATGGTAAAGTTAAATACAGGAATTTCTTTTTGGCTACAGAAAAAGACCAAAGAAAAAGGAATGCATTACTGACTGATCCTTGCCCTCCTGCATTGAAATCTGTACTGTCCAATCTTCAGTCTTGGAGCTAGTCAGTAGGTATGGTGGTTAAGGCAACTAGAGCCCACATGCTTTGCTGTGTTAGTTCCAGTCCTAGATCCAGTGGCTTAACAAACACACTGGGCACATGCATGTGCATGCCTAAAATTCCAAGAGGAGAATAGAAGAAAAGGACTGCAATGTGGCTATTCCCCCAGAGGAGGGGGTTGTTCTCACTTTCCCTCTCTCTTTCTCTATTTCTCTATTCAGTGAGCACACAAGCCCTATGCAAACTTTAAAAAAAAAAATCTTGGGACCAGCAGATGGTATAATGATTACATTGCTAGACTCTCACATGGCTGACCACAGTTCAAGTCCTGGACCTGGTGGTTTGAAAAATACACTGGGTGCCATGTGTGTGCATACCCAACGTCCTACGAGAAGAATGAAGAAGGGATTGCAGCATGACCATCCCCCTGGCGGGTGATTTCTCACTGTCTCTGTATCTCTCAGCGAGCACACACGCCCTATAACAAAAATCTTTCTCTTAAAAAAATAAAATAAAAATTTTAGTCTCCATTAATTCTCTCTATTGAACAAACTTTTCAGAGCCAGCAGGTGGCACGGTGGTTGGGTCACTAGATTCTCCCATGGCTTACCACAGTTTGAGTCCCAAGCCCAGTAGCCTGAAAATCAAAACAGATTGGGACCAACAGTTGGCATAATGGCTATGTCACTAGACTCCCATGTAGTCAACAACGGTTCAAATCCTGGACCTGGTGGCTTAAAACTCACGCCAGGCATGTGTACATGCATGCCCAAGATCCCGAGAGGCGAATGGAGGAGCAGGGAGTGCGGTATGGCCATCCCCCCGGGAGGTGATTTCTCCCTTTCTGTCTCTGCCTCTCTTTGTCTTTCTGGCAAGCACAGGCGTCCTATAGCAAAAACCTCTCCAAAAGAAAAAAAAAAAGAAGATCACACAGATTGGGGCCAGCAGGTGGCATGGTGGTTAAGGTATTGGACTCCCACATGATCAACCACAGTAGAGTTCCAGACCTGACAGCTTGCTTTCTCTCTATCTCTGTCTCTCACTGGTCTAACTTAAAAATAATAATAAATAAAATAAACTAGTTTACAAACTCGTATGATTGTTACCCAGATTTTCAAGAACTACATCCTAAGGGCTGAGTCTTCCATGCAACATTCTGAGTTACCAGTTCTATGTTACACCTTTAAAATTTTTAGTTTTGGGAGCAGCAGTTGGCATAATGGCTATGTTGCTGAACTCTCATGTAGTAGACTATGGTTTGAGTCCCGGACCCGGTGGCTTAAACTCATGGCCGGATGTGTGTGCATGCATGCCCAAGATCCTGAGAAGGGAATGGTGGAGAAGGGATTGCAGCGTGACCATCCCCCCTGGGGGATGATTTCTCGATTTCTGTCTCTCTCTCTTTCTGTCTAGCACACATACCCTATAGCAAAAACCTCTCCAAAAAAAAAAGTAAGAAAAAGACAAAAGTGTATATACACCTATGGGGCCAGCAGGTAGCCTGGTGGTTAAGGGCACTGGACTCCCACAAGGCCGACCACGGTTCAAGTCTCAGACCTGGCAGCTTGTTTTCCCACTTTCTCTCTCTCTCTCATTGGTCAAATTAAAAAAAATAAATATAAACAAAACAGATAAATGAAGTTAAATAAAATAATTCTGTAAAGAAAAAAAAAAAGAGTTTATATACACCCAAACTAAAGGCTTAAGCTATATAAATGCTTTACTTTTACTCATTTGGATATGAGAACTGGAAAACTCCAATTTCACAGCCTAGGTAAAGACTACAATAAAGGACTGTAAGTATAGTATTATCATCTAAAATTAAATCCAGAAATATAAAATACCAAACAGGACCAATGCAGATAGTCATACAATTTTTTTTTTTTAATAATGGAGAGCATGTGTGTCCATATAAGAGTAAAAAGAGTAAAAACACCTTCTACGGGATCTCTTCATGCCACTAGACCCTGTCCCCAGGCTTCCTGCTCCTCAGGCTCTTGGGCACCCTTGCACACACCTGGCATGCTTCCAGACCTACTCTGTGATCCAAACCAACTCAGTCATGTGGCCTGACACTGCAGCTCAGTATGCCATGGACTGCACCACCCAGTTTGGGTCCAAAAAATCTTAAGTAACCTATTTATCTCTGAAATCAAATACTAAAGGAATCCTCTTATTCATTTCTTGTATAGTTGTTTTGCTTTTTTAAAGAGGTTTTAGCCTTAGGGCACCTGTGCTTATAGGCAAGAGAGAGACAGACAGTGAGAGGAACAGTGAGAAATCACCGCCCCCCAGGGGGGGCACGGCCATGCCTCCTCAATTCCTTCTCCATGCTCCCCCGGGATCTTGGACACACACACTTCGTCTGGCATAATTTTCAAGCCACAAGGTTCAGGACTCGAACTGCAGTTGGCCATGTGGAAATCCAGCTTCTTTAACCACCGCGCCACTTGCTAGCTCTGAAAAGTCAGTCTTTTAATAATGATGTTCTCATTCCTCTAACACACTGTCCCCACAAACAATAATATATAAAAAATAAATAAATAAATAACTGCAAAAACATCTGCAATCACAACAAACTCTTCTTTTTACTAGTGGTTGCCTAGTTGGATCTAATTGCAGTTTAGATTTAAGAGTACTTTAACCTTTCTTAGGAAAGAACAATAGAGATATCGTTCTAAAGACAAAAATGTGGGACCAGCAGATGGTATAATGGTTATGTCACTGGACTCCCACATAGTCAACTGTGGTTCGAGTCCTGTACCCAGTGGCTGAAAACTCATGCCAGGTAAATGTGCATGCGTGCCCAAAATCTTGAGAGGAGACTGGAGAAGTGATTGTGGCATGACCATCCCCCCTGGGGCAGTGATTTCTCGATTTCTGTCAGTCTCTGTCTCTCCTGCAAGTGCATTTATCCTATAACAAAAATCTCTCTTAAAAAAATTAAGACAAAAATCTTAAAATCTGAAATTTCCACAGGGTTTCACAGGAGGCCTGTGCAGGCTTTGCCAGTATCCCATGCTATTCTGCTTTTTTTCTTTCAATAAATTGCTTTGAGTTTGAAATAACCTCATTTTCATTAGCTTTCCATTAACTTGCCCTTTTTAAACTCCCTTAGTGTAGTTATTTATATATTGTCCTAGGCTTCAGATTCCTTCAAATTGGAGTAGACTGATAAAATAAAAATTAAATACTCTACAAGGCAAGACACCTTCATTTAAATGAAACCTTAAGTCCACGCACGGAAAAAATATTGTGACCGGTAGTTGTTCTAATTATGTCCTAATTCTGCCAAAAGTTAGGCTAGGCAGAGAAAAAGCCAACAGCAACAACAAAAATATAGTTATTGGCTCAAACCTTTCACCAATCTGCATAAAATTATTTTCCTTATTCAACAACTCTCTCCTATCACTATTTGATAAGTTAAATAGCACAGATCTCCTATGCTCTTTAGCTTGATGCTAATTAAGAGTACCTGTATATCACCAAACTATCAAGATAAATACTTGTGGAGGGGGGACCAGCAGTTGACATAATGGCTATGTCGTTGGAACTCCCATGTAGTCAACCACGGTTAGAGTCCCAGACCCAGTGGCTTAAACTCACGGTGGGCGCGTGTGCGTGTGTGTCCATGATCCCGAGAGGAGAATGGAGAAGGGATTGTGGCATGGTCCTCAGGGGTGATTTCTCGCTTTCTCTCTCTCTCTGTCTTTCTGGTAAGCGCATGCGCTCTATAGCAAAAACTTTCCAAAAAAAAAAAAAAAAATTCTTGAAGGGGTTGGCAGGTGAATGGTGGTTAAGGTGCTGAACTTTCACATGGCTGACCACAGTTTGAGTCTTGAACCTATCAGCTTGCTTTCTGACTTTCCTTTTCTCTCCCTATGTCTCTCTCTGGTCTAACTAAAAAATAATAACAACAAATACAATTAAATAATTTAAAAAAAAAAGTTCTTGAGAAATCCCTACCAGATTATCAGGGAATCAGCTGATTATGAACTGGTTTCACTTGGGTTTCATTTCAGTAGGAAAGAGATGCTCTTTCTTGCCACTCGTGGGGGTTAAATACACTAAAATAAAACAACATTCAACACTGTGGACAGTCTTTGCTAACAATTTTGGAACCATAAAAATGATAATAATTAAGCTGGACTGCCTTAGAGTTTAGCTTGAGGGCCAGCAGCTGGTGTGGAGGTTAAGGCGCTGGGTCCCACAAGGCTTAACTGCACAAATGAGTTCCAGACCCGGAAGCTTGAAAAAGTCATTAAGGTTCATATATGTTTGTGCCCAAAATCCTAAAAAGACTGTAAAAGAAGGGAGTATGGCATGGCCATCTGCTCTGGAAGGTGATTTCCCACTTTCTGTCCGTCTGTCTCTCTCTCTGGCGAGCACAAGTGCCCTATAACAAAAACTGAAACTAAAAAAAATAAAAAGTTCAAGGGGCCAGCAGTTGGCACAGTAGTTAAGGGTGCTGGACTCCCACATGGCTGACCAAGGTTCAAGTCCTGGACCTGGCAACTTGGTCTCTCACTTTCTCTTTCTCTCTCACTTGCTCACTCTAGCCCTCTCTGATCAAATTTAAATAAATAAAGTTAAATAAAATAATTAAAAAAAAAGTTCAACTATGCTTTTTCCCTCCATGAGAAAGAGAGATGCACCCCCAACACAGTCTACACCACGACCTACCCCTAGCCTCAGTCAGCCCACATCATTTACAGAAGGAGAACCTGGCATGAGAACACAGAACTTTCCTGTGTGGGTCCAGGATCACAGAGCCTTCCATTACCACTGTGCCACCAGTTGACCCCTAAACATTTTTTTAAGCAACAAAATCAATTTTAAAGAGTTAAGAGGGTTGGGACCAGCAGTTGGCGTAATGGCTGTGTCACTGGACTCCCACATAGTTGATTGCAGTTTGAGTCCCGGACTCGGTAGCTTAAACTCATGCCAGGCACGTGTACATGCGTGCCCAAGATCCCAAGAATGGAGGAAAAGGGATTGCAGCATAGCCATCCCCACTGAGGGATGATTTCTTGCTTTCTGTCTCTCTGTCTTGCACAAGGTTCCCAAAGCAAAAACCTCTAAAAAAAAAAAAAAAAGCTCAAGTACAATTTTTTTAGACAGATTTTTGCTATAGGGCATGTGAGCCTGCTGGAGAGACAGACACAGAAAGCAAAAAATCACTCCCCAGGGGGGATGGCCACACTGTAAGCCCTTCTCCATTCTCCTCTCAGGATCTTGAGCACACACACACATGCCTGGCATGAGTGTTAAGTCATCAGGTCTGGGACTAGAACCGTGATCAACTATGTGGGAGTACGGCAACACAATCATTATGTCATCTGTTGGTCTCAGGTATGCTTTTCTTGCACAGTATATTACACGGCTCCAATTTTAATGTACCAATATACAAACCAACTGTACAGAAGCTAGTGTGTCTTCATTCCAATAACATTTCTTAAATGTAATTTCTTACCAATTGTCACACAGTCGAGTGTCCTGGTCCTGTAGAAATTCAGCCATTGTTAGCTCTTTCTGTAAACTATAAAAGAAGAAGTGTGACCTTTCAATTTCATTTCTGCTTTAAGGATGACATACAAAAAATATATTTTTTTAAAATGCACAGAAAATGTCAATAAAACCTGTGTGTGAAAGCATTTTATTTAATACCCAATGTGTATGTTTGCTTCCTTTTTATTACTTAAAAAAATGTTTTTGTGAGTTTTTTGCTATAGCACACGTGTGCTCGCCAGAAGAACAGAGAAACTGAAAGTGAGAAATCACCCCCCAGGAGGGATGGCCATGCTGCGATCCCTTCTCCTCCATTCTCCTCTCAGGATCTTGGCCACGCACGCACACATGCCCAACATGAGTTTAAGCCACTGGGTCCGGGACTCAAACTGTAGTTGACTACATGGGACTCCATAGACATAACTATTACACCAACTGCTGTTCCCACTTTAAAATTTTTAACTTCAAATAATTTAAAAAGTATGAAGAATCTGAGTCTGGCAGGAGGTATGGTAGTTAAGTGCGCTGGATACCCACATGGCCAATCGTGGTTCAACTCCTGGAACTGGTGGCTTGCTTTCTCACTTTCTCTTTCTCTCTTCCCCCCTTTTCTGGTCAAATGAAAATGAATAAAGTTAAATAAAATAATTCTTAAAAAAAAAGTATGAAGAATTCCATTATACCCTTTATTAAATATTCCTAAAAGTTAACATAATCATAGTAAAATTCCCAGATATAATAAATTAAGGGAATATAATATAATACAACTAATCTACAGAATTTATTCAAATTTCAACAATAATCCCACCAATTCCTCTTTTCTGGTTCAATATCTAAGCCGGCATTGCATTTAGCTATCATTTTTTTCTTAATTGTCTGTGATCTGGGTATTTCTTTCTGTACCTTTCATGACCTTGTTAAGTATATTGGCTAGCTACCTGATAGAATGTCCTTTAATTTGGGTCTGTCTGATATTTTCTAATGGTTAAATTCAGATTACGTATTTTGAGCAAAAATACAATAGAAATGATACTGTGTACATCTTAGTGTATTATATCAGAAGACATATAATATCAACAGTCTTATTATTTTTGGAGATGTTAACTCATCACTTAGTTGAGATGAGTGTCTGCCAAGTTTCTTCACTATGAAGTTTTTCCTTCTTTTCTTATTTTAATTAATTAATTATTTTATTTTATTATTATTAGTTTTTTTTAGTTTTTTTTTTTGCCATAGTGTGTGTGCGCTGGCTGGAAAGAATAAAAGGGAAAGTAAGAAATCATCCTCCAGCGGAGATGGCCATGCCACAATCCTTTCTCCATTTTCCTCCTGGGATTTTCGGCATATACACCCATATGCATACAATTTTTGGCATGTACATCCATATGCATACACACACACACACACACACACACACACACACACACACAGGGCATAAATTTCAAGCTGCCAGGTCTGGAACTTGAACCATGTTTTTTTTTTTTTTTAAACAAGATGTCGGGGCTGACAGGTGGCGTAATGGTTAACGGTGCTAAACTCCCATATGAGTCCCAGACCTGGTGCCTTGTTTTCTTGCTTCCCCTGCTTCCTTGCTCACTCTGTCACTCTCTGATCAAATTAAAATAAATAAATACAATTAAAAATAAAATAATTCTTTTTTTTTTCAGAGAGGTTTTTTGCTACAGCGCGTGCGCACTCCCAGAAAGACAGAGAGAGACAGAGAGGTAGAAAGCAAGAAATCATCCCCCAGGGGGGATGGCCAGGTCATAATCCCTTCTCCTCCCCATTCTCCTCTCGGGATCTTGGGCATGCACGCACACGCGCCTGGTTTGAGTTTAAGCCACCAGGTCCGGGACTTAAACCGCAGTCAACTACATGGGAGTTCAGCAACATAGCCATTACACTAACTGCTGGTCCTAAAATAAAATAATTCTAAAAAAAAAAAACAAAACAAGATGTCAATGCTGAAAGCACTGGCAACCTCACTGCCAATATTTAAATTATTCCTCTCCATGGGGCTGAAGGTAACGTGGTTAAGATGCTGGACTCCCACATGGCCAACTGTGGTTAGAGTCCTAGACCTGATAGCTTGCTTTCTCACTTTCCCTTTCTCTCTCTGATAACATTTAAAAATAAATAACAACAAGTAAAAAAATCTTTAAAAAATATTCTTTTCCATGACACAAAAAGTGATCTTAAATATTGTCCCCAATAGGGCTCTTGAATGATTTTTGCCTTATCAAACCAATTTTCCAACCAACTTTTCAAACTGTATTACTTATTCATTCAACATGTTAATTAAATCCCTATTGTATGCCAGACACTATAATTTAAGAAATATAGTGCCTGTCCTAATAGAGCAAATAAATAAATATTTCCAATGGAAAAATACACAAACAAATGGGGATGAAGTGAAGGAAAATCTACTTTATTCAAAATTTCAATTTTAAATAATTTAACTTTAAAAAACTTCCTGGAACTTTCCAAGAAGAAGACATTTAAACTGAGACCTCAAGTACAAACACAAACAAGAAAAGACAGGCTTAAAATGGGAATTGAGGGGAGAAAAACATCCTGGAAGTTGTACAGCAAATAGCCTAAGGCAATGACAGAGAAAAGTAAAGGTAGGTCAGGAAGAGCTAAAAGAAAAACAAATGGGTTCAAGAAGGCCTTATCAGATAGGACAGAAAGGATAAATTATATTTCAAGCTCAACTTTTAAACTAGGTAGTGCCACGATTTAGGATATCCCCTCCGAAATAAAATGTGAGAAACACAAAGTATGCGTCTATAAAAACAAATCACTTTCCTTGAAGGGAGAAGCCTAGATTTAATACTTTCTAGAAATGCCTGGTTGATTCTGCACTCTACTTCAGCCCACTATGCAGCTAATTCTAAACTAATACCAGAGCCCCAGATGAGAGGAGTCGCAAAAAGTTTTGGGCGACAAGCAGGGCTTAACGGTGGCCCCTCAGGAGGTCAGTTTCTAGTTCTGCCTCTCAGAACCTGTGTCATTTTTAACTCCTGTGGGGCTCAGATCCTCAGGCAGACGACGGCGACGCTTCGAAGAGGGTTGTGAGGATTAAATGGGCAAATGCGCCGAAGAGCTTTAGCACAGAAAAAGCCCTCACAGCCTTAGAAGGAGACCGTTAGAGATGGCCAGATCGCTCCGGTCCCCAGAAAAGGACCGTCCCTCTGCCCGAGGGGGCGGAGCTACCGCCGCGGGGTGCAGTCCCTGCCGGCACTTTCTAGCCGCTTTCTCCCCAAGCGAGGTCGGCGAGGGGCAGAAGAGGGAACCGGGTTAGTAAATGACAGCAGTTGGCATTTAGCTTACTGAACGCTCGTGCGGACAATCTTTTAATCCTGACCACAATCCTATGAGGTGAAAGTCACATCTCCATTTTAGAGACTGCGAAGGCGGAAGTTCAGAGAGCAGTTACCGCCTCAGCTGGCCAGAGAAGGGGGTCCATTCGGGGCCGTCCGCCTAGAGGCCGCACTCGCCCCCCGTGAACCCCCACGCCGGCAGCTGGAGGCTCCGCCCTGGGCACGGTGGCTGTGGCGGCACTACGGACGATGCCCGCCTCCCAGTCCCCTCAGCCCGGCGGGGCAGGGGGCGGCGTCGCCGGGGCTGTGAGGCTCGAGTTCCCTGAGGAGAAAGCGCGGCCTCCTGCAGTGGCCTGAGGAGACGCCGCGACGCCGGCATCTTTTCCTTACGGCCGCAACCCCCGTTCTGAAAGTCCCCTCGATCACACCCTCCCCTCGGGATGCGGGCCTCCTCCGGCGCAGACTGTCGCTATGCCTCACCTGGGACGAGAGGAGGAAAGCTGAGCCACAGACACCGATCCTCCTCAGTGAGCCCCGCACTGAACAACGGCCCCCTCAGAAGCCTCACCACTTCCGACCACCGCTCAGGAGCGCGCCCATTGGTCAGTGGTGATCCCGGCTGTTGGCTCATTGGGTAGCATTTTTGTCGCTCCCAGGGCCCCGCCTTCTGCACTCCGATTGGCTGCTCGGAGCACGATGGGGGTGGATCCCTGGAAGACCCAGCCTCCGCACATCTGGAACGAGAGGCGGGGACCCGAGGGCTGAGTGAGCCCCATGCTGGGTCTAGCAGCTGCCGCGACGTAGGCTAATAATATTTGCATGACTAATGCTGTGCAAACACTACTAATATGTCAAATATGTTATGATAATTAATGGCATTTGTTCTTTTGTCATGGGCCACTAATGTTTATTAGTCATTCTTGCTGCTAGTCTAATGCTCGTGTGTGAGGCTCTGACCATTCTTGACCACTTTGCTTTTCACAGTGGAATGAGCGCCTGAGATGCAGGTTTGAATGCCAGTTTCTCTACTTGTTGCCTGAAAGGATTCTCTGAATTCCTCTCCCCTCATAAGTTAAAAGGGGGGAATAATATAAACTTACATATATCTAGAAATGACAATATTAAATTTTGACTCTACTGCAGATTATAGTTTCCAAATACACATGAGATAGTACAAAACAGGAATAACTGTTTACAAAGGAATATTAAGCTAATATACTTATTTTATTTATTTACTTTCAAAGAATTATTTAATTTTAGTCATTGTCATTATTATTATTTTTATTTTTTTAAGTTGATCAGAGAGGGGGAGAGAGAGAAGGAAAGTGAGAAAGCAAGTTCCCTGGTTCGGCACTCAAATCACAGTTGGGCCTTGTGGGAGTTCGGCCGCCCAACCACCACACCACCTGCCAGCTCCTATTTATTTATTTTTAGAAAGAGATTTTTTTCTATAGGGTACATGCACTCACTGTAGAGACAGAGAGACAGAAAGCAAGAAATCACCCCCTGGGGGGATGACCATTCTTCAGTCCCTTCTCCTCCACTCTCCTCTCGGGATTTTGGCCATGTACACACATGTACCCAGCGTGAGTTTCAAGTTGCCAGGTCCAGGACTTGAAGTACAGTCAACTATGTGAGAGTCTAGCAATGTAACCATTACACCATCTACTGGTCCCCTTATTTTATTTTTTAAATAATTATTTAATTTTATTTATTATTATTATTTTTAAATGTGATGGGGGTGGGGAGGTGTGGTGGTGGTGAGAAAGCAAGCCACCAGGTCTGGAACTTGAACCACAGTCAGCCATGTGGGAGTCCAACACCTTAACTACCATACTACCTGCTGTCCCAAGGATACTTAGTTTAATATGCAGCATATTCTGTGTGATTCTAAGTATATAAAGTCCAAAAAGAGGCAGAACTAAGGTGAGAAATCAGATACTGGTCCTACTTGGAGGGTATAGATTGCAAGGGGATATGAGAAAGACTTCCAAGTCCTGAAAATGTTCTGTATCTCAATCTACAAAGTGGTTAACACAGATGTATTAATTAGTAGTTATTAACCTGTATACTCAAGACTTAAGCATTTCACACTGTATGTTTTATTCCAATAAAAGTTATCAAAAATAGCATAGTAGGTCAGCAGGTAGCTTAGCAGTTAGGTCGTTAGACTCCCACATGATTGACCACATTTCGAGTCCCAGACTTGGTGGCTTGAAACTCCCACCAGATGTGTGTGCATGCTTGCCCAAGATCCCAGGAAGAGAATGGAGGAGAAAAGATTGCAGCATGGCTACCCCCACTAGGGGGTGATTTCTCACTTTCCCTCTCTCTATCTCTATCATTTTCTCTCTCAGTTGAGTGCATGCACCCTATGGCACATGGGGCCAGCAGGTGGTGTGGTGGTTAAGGATGCTGCACTCCCACATGGCCAACCTTGGTTCAAGTCCCGGACCTCGCAGCTTGTTTTCTCACTTTACCTCTCTCTTTCTCTCTCTCACTCTGTCCCTCTCTGGTCAAAATAAAAATAAATAAATAAATAAAGTTAAATAAGATATAAGATAATCTTTTAAAAAAGCATAGTAATTTAAAAATTAAAGAATGAGAAAAAATATATTAATATGAATTAAATATATTAATGTAGTAGATATATGTACTAAGGAAAAGAGGAAAAATAAGTAGAATAAATTTGTTTTATTTAAGCAAATAAGGTTACTGAAAAATATAGTCATTAAAAGGATGAGGGGTGCAGTAGGTGGTCTGGTGGTTAAAATCCTGGATTCCCATATGGCTGACCCCAGTTTGAGTCCCAGACCTGGTAGCTTGCTTTCTCACTTTCCCTCACTCTCTCTCTCTCTCTCTGCCTCTCTCTGGTGCGCACATATGCCCTGTAGCAAATTTTAAAATAGTAATAATGATAAATAAAATTAAATAATTCTTTAAAAAAATTTCTGGGGGTTAGGTCAGCAGGTGGCCTGGTGGTTAAGGCAGCTGAGTCCCACATGGCTATGAGGTTCAGAGTCCCAGATGAGGGAACTTGAAAAACACATTGGGTGTGTGTGCCTGTGTGCCCAAAATCTTTAATGGAGAAATGGAGATGGGATTATGGCATGACCATCCCCCATGAGGCGTGTTTTCTCACTTTCTCTATCTCTATGAATGCACACACACCGTCTAGCAAAGTAAAGAGAGAGAGAGATTTAGGGGGCCTGACAGTGCAACAGCAGTAAAACAAGATGCTCAGAACTACCAGGTGGTGTAGTGGATAAGGCACTGGATTCCCACATGGTCAATGGCTATGTGAGTCCTGGACCCAATAGCTTAAGGATAATGGTGGCCGTGTGTGCATGCCTGGGATCCCAAGGGGATTACTGCATGGCCATCACTCCTGGGAGGTGATTTCTCACTTTCCCTCTTTCTGACTCTCTCCTCTCTGGTGAGTACACACACCCTGTGGCAAAAACCTATTAAAGAAAAAATCCTAAGAAAAAGAATATAAGACTGGAATACAATACCGAGGGTCTTTGTCCTACTAGGATTTTCGTTTTCTATGTTCTTACACTGAATTTCTACTCTCTTCTTTAAAAAAAAAAAAGAGAGAGAGAGGAGCCAGCAGGTGGCATGTTGGTTAAGGTGCTGGATTCCCACATGGTCGGCCATACTGTGAGTGCTAGATCTGGTGGTTTGCTTTCTTACTTTCTCTCGCTCTCTCTGCTGAGCACATGTGCTCTATATCAAATTAAATAATAAAATAAATAATTTTTAAAAAGAGAGAGAGAAATCCATCCTTTAATTTTTTTTTATCTTTTTGATAGAGGGCAAATGTGCTCACCAGTGAGAGAGACAGAGGAAGAGGAGATATTACGCTCCATAGGGAATAGTCATGCTGCAATCCCTTGTCCTCCAAATCTCTCTCTATTTGGGAGTTTGGGCACACATGCACACACACCTGCCTAGAATAGTCCTCAAGCTGCTGGGTCTAGGATCAAACCAAGCAGTCAGCTATGTGGGATCTGGCTGCCTTCACCACCAGGCCACAGAGCCAACCCTAAACCCTTGTTTCAATTGTTTCTCCATAAACTTTTTGAAGCCCCATATTTTTCTCTGGTACTCTATCCTTTGCATTTCTCTCCACCCTTCCTCAGCATCATCTATCTTCCTTTTAATATTACTATTTTTTTAATGGAGAGAGAGAGAGAGAGAACTCCCCGACAGAGTCCCAATGCTGCGATCCACCCCCAGCTCCAGCTGTGTATCACAAAGCAGAAACCTGCTCATATGGGTCTGTTGTGTTTTATCTTTGTGCGACCACCTGGCCCCCTCCCTCTGTCTTTTCAGGCTCCTCCGTGCTTGGTCTTCCTGGCACCATTTTTAGTGCAACAAGAGGCAATTCTGGCAGTAAGTCCCCAGCTCCCTGGCATCCCAGCAAGTGCCCCATTCCAAATACCTTCTCCCTCTCACCCTGTTATTGGAATTTCTGGGCTGGGTTATAGGGTATGCCTCTATTTAACTCTTGGTTATTAAAAGTAAAAGCCATCTGTGTGTACATAAATATCTTAAACTCTCATGAGTTATTACATTTATCTGTGACTTTAAAAAAATTAAACTAGTCTTTTAAGATCTACCTACAAATTTGGGGGTCCAATCTTATATTTCTCACTGGCCCCAGGGCTTGACCCATTAGCTGGCCACCAGATGACAGGGGCTTAGATAATCCACAATCTGGGAAGGGGGAGACAGGACCTCTTCCAGGGGATCAGGGGGAGGTAGCAATCAACAATGGCATAGCAGAACACAAACCACACACCTTGATCTTCTCAATGGAGTTGGGACTTTCAGAGAGGGCTTTAAATGTCCTCTTGTTTGTATTTTGCACATAGCCACAAGTATGTTCCTCTATTACTAGAGAAACACTTATGAAACCACTGCTAAAAGCCAGTTTCCTAACAGAGGTGCCAGGTTCTGAAACACTCTCAGGGTGTGTCTTTGGGCCTTGTAGTGTTCACTTGTTTTGTCATTTTTGAGGCGGGGAGCTAGGGATGCAGCTAGCTAAGGTGGAAATGGTAAAGTACAAGGGGCAGTGTGTCCAGGAGGGAGCTCAGAAACCCCCAGCTGACATCTGAGGACTCATACATATTCATGAGGAGGACAGGGATTGGACTAGAGTCCCCAGAGCATGCTGGGACATTTCTTGGTCAGCCTGGTTACTAGGCAGAGTTCTCTGGAGCAGCTGCTCACTCCTGCTGGCAGTTTCGTTTCTCAGCCTTCTGCATGGTTTTCCAGGAAAGCCCTCAGTTCTCTGACCTCCATGCTGCCTAAGAGAGTGCTTCACACATTCCCAGGGGAAGAACCTTACTTAATGCTAAATCAGTATTTTTCAGAGGGTGGTAGAGGACTGGCAGGATTAGTGGGATGGGTGGGGGTGATAAGGAGGAAGATTAGCTAAAATGCAGATTCCTAGGCCCACTTGCAACTATTGAATAATGTACCACTTTCTGTGTTGGCATCCCACAATGTTGGAGAGTTTTTTTCTTTTTTTTTTTGGAAGAGGTTTTTGCTATAGGGCAATTGTGCTCGCCAGAATGACAGAGACAGAAAGCAAGAAATCACCCCCCAGCGGGTATG